AAAATTGATATTTTATTGGAAAGTGAGGCTTACAGAGAAATATCTTCAAACCCTGGTTCACTCCCCAAGTGGTTGCAATGCAAGGATCAGAGTTGATCCAAAACCAGGAGTTAGGAGCTTCTTCTGTGATCCCCAAATCTTGGACAGTCCTCTACTGCTTTCCCAAGGGACAAACATGGAGCTGGAAAGCAGGGCCACCAGTATACAAACTTGTGTCCATGGATTCCCAGTGCATTCAGGTGAGAACATTAGCCACTAGAATACAATGTTGGACCCATAACAGTGAAGTTTGATGAACTTGGTTCTCATCAGTATCTCAAAAGAGATTTCATTTTGATGTTTTCTTTTCTTCAGATCGACATCTTCCCACTGGCATTCCCTTCATGACTGTAGGAACTGAGTCAGCATACACTTTTCTCAAATCTCTAAGCATGACCAGGGAGATGGTGATGAGGAATGCCAGGAAGCGGAGCATCATGGACATTTGAGAGCAGCATCTGAACTCTGTGTCCTAAGTACACTGCTTTATCTGACTACATAATGCTTCAAGGTGCATTGCACATGTTCTTTTTACTTTGTGTAAGAAGAGAGGAGCTCAGCACTTTTATGTAGCTTTCCTTGTAGCAGGTTGTCAGGTAAACGAAAAGGAAGCCAATTCTGAATCAAGAATTGGGCACATGGTTACACAAGGCTGATCTCCGTCTAGATCTTTCTCTGAGATTTCACTTCAGCCTTCAAGCTCTTACACATGTCATGGGATCACACTGCTTCGCATGAAGTAAAGCAATGTGAACTGAGTCATTAGATTCCAAATTTACCATAGAAAAAGCAGAGTGATGGACAACGGACCTCAGAGGTAGGTACCTGATGTCATGATATGTGGATTTCTGCTGAAACTTTCTGATGAATGGGGCAGAGGGGAGGTCTCAACGCAGCAGATCCAGAGACCATGTTTTTTGGAATCATGTCCACTTCACCGACCATTTCACTTCTGTGTGGTGGGTTCTCAGGATCTCTGACACTGGGCACTGTCAGCTTTCAGAATGGGTGCCTCAGTGGTGCAACTGCTTAGGGAAATCAATGACCCTATAGTGGAGGATAGCTATTTGAAACAATACATCAAAGATGGACAAAATAAAGTTAGAAATTGGCCTAATATTGTGCTTTTTTATTGCTGTATGGCACTTGCTGCTCCTGTTATTCTAAGAAAGGAAGTAAAGATTTCCAAGGAAAACAAAATGAGCATTTTGAGCTAATTCTGAAACAAACGTGCTAAAATAACAACATGCAAGTTTAATATCTATCTATCTATCTATCTATCTTTCTTTCCAATTATGAACATTTTAATCCACAAATTGCTTAAATATTAAATAAAATTAGTTCTTCACTTTTCAAAAATGTTTTTAGAGCCAAAGTATGCCCTCACAAACGTACTTTGGGTGTGTTTGGGGAAGAATGACTGTCTCTTTTTCCTGAGTTCCTGAACTGGAAGTGTCATTTAAACAGAGGGGACATCACAAGACTCTGTGTTACACATTGAACAGAGTCATTCTTGGTTCACAATAACCAGCCCTAGTCGCTGTGGCTTCCATACACTGGGTGCCATCATGAGTCCTTTTAAGAACTTCCCAAGGAAGCAGAGATGTGTTGGAGTATGAGAATAGTGTGGGCTTGTGTCTCTGAGAAGGACAGAGTGTCTTGTAAGTTCACTGAGTGAGGTCTACTGCATAACTCTTTTTTCATGAGTAGTGATGACCTATGGCGGAGATCTTCAGGTGTACAATAAAACAAATGGAAGTGAAAAGACAGATGGTATACCTGACTGAGACATTGCCACCCCCATTTCCTTTGACAATGATATTCATAAGAACCTTGGCATTTCTGTGACAAAAATCTGTCTTGTAAAAATGAGAACAAGATAATTCATTTTAACTTCCCCTGCTTGCTTGACCTGTCATAGATATGAGTTGTTCTATGTGCGGAAGACAATGAAATTACAGTAGGGTGAAGACATGTTTGTATGTGTGTATCCTGGGTGAACGATCCAGGAGTAGAATCATGATTTCCTTATATCTTTCTCATCACTGTGGTTCCTCCACTCATGCAAAATGAAATCAACATACCCCTCATGAGATTAGCTTTCCTAGTGCGTTCTCATGAAAGAAATGCTATCAGATGTCACACTGTGTGATAATGATCATCTCTCTCCCTCTCTCTTTTTAAGTTTTATTTATTTATTTTTATTACAAAGTCAGATATACAGGAAGGAGGAGAGACAGAGAGGAAGAACTTCCGTCCAATGATTCACTCCCCAAGTGACCAGAATAGCCGGTGCTGAGCCAGTCCATAGCCGAGAACCCGTAACCTCTTCCGGGTCTCCAAGGCGGGTGCAGGATCCCAAAGTTCTGGGCTGTCCTCAATTGCCTTCCCAGGCCACAAGCAGGGAGCTGGATGGGAAGTGGGGCTGCTGGGATAGAAACACGTCCATTTGGCATTCCAGCGCGTTCAAGGTGATGACTTTAGCAACTAGGCCACTGTGCCGGGCCCAACGATCATCTCTCTTACAATAATGCAGTAGACAGTGATTGCTTTTCCCGCCCAAGGAGAACAAACACAGCTGGAGAGTAGTAAGCATGCCTGTCTTCTCATTTTACAACTAAAATTAACGTTTTGACCTTACAATTTACAAATATTGATGTGTGAGACATGGAAAGCAGAACATACATTTTGAAAATGCAGTCATAATGAAAGACCAGCCAACTGATGTCCTCTCAGGCAATGGTGGGACAGATCCAGTACTTAAAGCAGATGTGTGAAACTTACAGAAAGACTTCAAGTGGATTTAGCAGCAGTAAGTGTAGTACACTTAAAAGAACTATACACACATTTCATTCTGCTTTTAAACAAAATTATATCAGTGCTCTGAAATCAGTGCTGACACAAGGGGTGTGTATTATGTTGCTGTGGGTTAGGCCTCAGCTTGGGAAGCCTGTATCCCATGTCACAGTGCCTGATCCATGTCCCAGCTACTGCACTTTGGGTCCATTTCCTGTTCATGTGCACCTTGGGAGCTGCCACGTTTTGGCACAGGTGCCTGAGTTTCTGCCATTACACAGGAGACTTGGCTGTGATTTCTGGCATTTGGTTTTAGCTTGATGCAGCCCAGGTACTGTGGGTAGTTTATGGAGTGAACCTATGAATGGAGGAGGGCTCTTTCTTTCTATGAAATAAAAATGAAAAGGGGATGAAAATGATAAAAAAAATTACAGAAATTTCTTACACTAAGCCCCTAATGTCCATAATTATTGTTCACTCTGTGTGATAAGCATATTGCTAAGGTGTGTTCATATTATTTTGTCTGATTTCTTCTTTTGCAATTTTTCTTTTTCTTGGTCTGAGTATAAACCATGCTATTCACAAACTAGAATTGCTTTGGGGTTGCCAACTGGTGAATTACAATCCATGAATCAGGAAGGAATAACATGAAAAAATTTTAATTGTGCACAGGGAGCCTGGGACTCTATGCTGCCTTTGGGCTTTGCCTAATACCAAACAATTCAAGTATAAGTAAAGGGGTTGGCCATAAAACCGTACGTCAGAGCTACCAGGCTTCTACATAAAAAGAAGTAAAATTTGAGAAAAAAAATCATTTTAGGAAAATACAGCTTTTCCATGTGAGATAGTATGCTGAACTCATTAGGTATGGTTAAACATTTGCATTCGCTTTTTAGAATCTGAAATTTCTAGACAATCCATTACCACCAAGTGATTGAGTTACAGGATGCAGTATTTGTGATCTGTGATTTTATGGGGATATTTACAGCAAAATAAACCGCATATGACATAATTTGGCAGGCACTGGGGGATAGAAGTTATATGTGAAATATTTTATTTCTAAATGTTATATATCTTATTAATATAGAGAACATTTTTTTTTCATTCTTTAGGTATATTTCAAGAGAATCACATTTACCTCATTCCTTTGCTTCCCCTAACACACCTGTCTCCATTCAGCCACATTTGCGACTTATATCCACTCAATATTCTGGGGCTTAATTTACCACTAAGTATGATTTTCAACACTTGAAACCCAAGAGGATGGCAATTCTACGTGCATATAAACATAGGTTCCAGTGATCACCCTATCCCAAAGTGACCATTTCGTTCCTACACATTTGGATGATCTGTGTTAGCTGCACATGGCAGGGAATATTTCTCTGGGATAGCAAGTTTTTTCTCCCACTCGTGTTGCTTCCTAGTTGTGAGTCAGTCTCCTGTCAGTGTGGACTGTGAGAGGCAGTGGTAAGCCAGAGCAGGTGGGTTCCTGTGAGCTCTATTGGAGACCTCAGTGAAGTTACAGCTGTCAGCTTCTCTGTTGGTCCTGACAGGGAAATTGTAGGTATTTTGGGGTGTCCCATGGTGTTGACTCTCAAAGAGAAATGATCATGGAGGGGCTTGAAAAACCTGAGGGATGACAAAACACTGACCAAAAATAATACTGAGCTATCAAGAACCAATTTTATGCTTAAATGGGAAGGGCACTACTTATTTTTGAACATATTTAGGTGATTTTGAGTATGATCAGTGGCATGTTCAACCTAAATTTATGGCCAATAAATTTTTTCTGCTGAGGGTCAATAGAACAGGGTACATAGAAGGCATGCAGAAGAAGGTCAACATAGAGGAAACCAATTGTGTAAGGGTTGTGGATGGTAGAGTTTGCAACTGTTGAGTCAAAAGGCATAGGTTGTATCATTGCCAAGCATGGAATGGAGCTAGATGTCTTGAACACTTGGAAAGAAAACACAGCTCAGTACTCACAAATTTCAAAATAATATTGCCAGAAAAACTTTAACTTCCAATCCTATTTATTCTACCAAGTTGAGAGTTACCCATGTGTTATATCCATGATGAACAGAACTGAAAATATGTCCAATTGTCATATACCTGACTTCCCAGAAACTCACACTATTCTCTTTTACACAAGGTTCTCAGGTGATATGGAAATCAGAAATCTCACACGTGTTGTCTCAGAATTCCATCTCACTGGCTTCTCCGAGGATCCAGAGCTGCAGCCCGTCCTCCTGGGACTGTTCCTCTCCATGTACCTGGTCACGGTGCTTGGGAACCTGCTCATCATCCTGGCTGTCACCTCAGACTCCCACCTGCACACACCCATGTACTTCTTCCTCTGCAGCCTGTCCTTGGCTGACATGGGGTTCACCTCCACCACGGTTCCCAAGATGATTGTGGACATCCTCACCCATAGCATGGTCATTTCTTATACCGGCTGCCTGACTCAGATGTCTCTCTTTATTACATGTGGAGACATGGATGATTTCCTTCTAACAGTGATGGCCTATGACCGGTTTGTTGCCATCTGTCACCCCCTGCATTACCAGATCATCATGAATTCCCACCGCTGTGGCATCCTACTTTTGCTGTCATTTGTGGCCAGCCTTTTTGATTCCCTACTTTATAATTTTATGGTATTACAAGTCACATGCTTCAAAAGAGTAGAAATTTCTAATTTCTTCTGTGATCCCACTCAACTTCTCAACCTTAGTTGTTCTGACACCCTCAGCAGTGACATAGTCACATGTATTGTAAGCATCGTATATGGCTTCCTCCCTTTGTCAGGAATCCTTTTCTCTTATTATAAAATTGTCTCTTCCATTCTGAGGGTTCCATCTCCAGGTGGCAGATACAAAGCATTCTCCACCTGCAGCTCTCACCTGACAGTGGTTTGCTTATTTTATGGAACAGGCATTGGTGTGTATCTCAGTTCATCTTTCTCTGGTTCTGCTGGGAAGGTTGCCTTGGCCTCACTGATGTACAGTGTGATCACCCCCATGCTCAACCCTTTTATCTACAGCCTGAGGAACAGGGACATCAAGAGAGCCATGTGCATAGTCTTCAAGAAAACACTCTTATTCCCATCCAAGATTAGAACTTGATCCCATATGCGATCCCAGTGAATTCAAGGCAAGGACTTTACCCACTAGGCTATTGCACTGGACCCAGGTTGCTGACCTTCTTTAAGATGAGTATTTTGAATTGCATTGTGGAAAATCAAATATCTCTACATCTTTAAAGAGGGTTAAGTAATTTACTTTGCAGGATGCAGTTTATTTCATTGACTTGGTCTAGTCCCAAATGTTTATATAGTCCTTGTGTTCCCTGCTTAGTCATAAAAAAAAAAATCTTCTCTCAGTTTTCTGGTAGATTTCCCACAGGGAAAGACCTTCACCAACAAATTTGTTTGAAATTGTGCGAAGCCCTGAACGTTTTGAGGATATTAGAATGACTACCCCTGTATTGTTTTCTTTGTATTGACATTGAATAGCTTCCTCAATCCTTTCTATCCAGGTTTTAAATCCACTAAGCCAGCAGGCATTTTGATTTAAGATGCTTGACTCAGGTTTATTTTTGTAAAGTAACAGCATGGACTTGCTCTTCCTTAGCTCTTTGTTGAGGAGAATTTCTACTTTTCATTCCTTCCTTTTCATGCTTATTTCCTTCCTTTTATTCTTATCCTTCCTTTAATTTTATTTTGAGAGGCAGAGTTAAACACATAGGAGGGAAAGGTAGATAGATAGATAGATAGATAGATAGATAGATAGATAGATAGATAGACAGATAGATAGACAGATAGATAGATCTTCCATCAGCTCATTTACTTCCCGAATGGCCACAATGAGCAGAACTGGACTGCTCTTTAGCCAGGAGCCATGAAGAAAGAACCTCTTCTAAACTCATTTGATTTCTCTTCAAAATCTTGATGTGTTTGAAATTTTTTCAACCATGTTAGGCATGGAATTTTTTTTTTTTTGTCACAATGATTGTTTTCTGTGTATTTCTGAGTAACCCTGTGATCATTTTTGACCCATTGATTTTTCAGGAAATTCATCAATTTCTTTGTCTTCACATTCAGCTCTGCCTTTTCAATAAAAATAAATAAATAAAAATAATATTTATCATAAATAATAAGAATATTATACAATTGTGGCTTCAATGATCTGTGCTCACTCTAACATTGACTGTATATGGACATGATGTTCACTTTTCCATTTAGTTATCACTCAAACCACTGTATGTGTTTCCACTTAACTAAGGTCTCTTAGCTTTAGAAAAGCAATGCCATTATCCAGTCTGATAGAGTTTTCCTTGGCTTTGTGTTCCCCGAGAGTGACACAATCTCTGAACTGGCTTATACAGTTCTTACAAAGATAGCTTGGAATTTGGTCCAAATGTCCTGTTGAGTAATGACTGTTGGGAGACTGAAGAATTAAGACTTCTTTTTCTCTCGTCTTACTGATATCCCTGTGGCCGAAGATTTGATTAAACCCATGATTACACACAGAATCAGCCTTGCATTTTTGCCACAGAATGACTGGCTACAGCTTATTGAGACTTTCCAACTAGGAGAGACAAGGGTCACCTTTGGACGAGTTGGCTGTGGACCTCATGAGGCTGTGAGGTGGAAATGTAACCAAGACACAATATAGACAATTTTCTTGAAGGAACATTTGACTGCTAGGCTAATGGTTTGATGGGTATATTCTGGGTGAAAAGAAGATGGAACTATGTATAATCTTGGAATGTGTATATTCATGTATGTATTTTCCTCTGGAAAGATTTCAGATATACTTCCTTGTCCCTTTTACAGAACTGCATTCCATGAACCAGGAGGACATGATTGGAAAATATACATAATGATGCATAGGAAGATTGGGACTCCATTTTGAATTTGGTCTTCCCTGGCACCAAACAAAAACAAAATACCTCTATTATTTTACAAAGATTTTCTAATTTATTTCTTTGACAGACTCACATTTCCAGATTTCTTTTATATCATTTAATTAATTGAATTGAAATGCACAATTACAGAGGAAGAAGAAGAGACAGAGTGAAAAAAAAAAAAAAAGAAGAAGAAGACCGGGAAAATGGACCCATCACATACAATAAAGTTTCTGGAAAATGTGAGCAAAGTTTTTAGCGTGTGTCATGTATCAAATGGCTATAATGACTGGGGGTGGGGCAGGAGCCAGGAGCTTCCCTATACGGGTTCATCAGCCCAAAAGCTTGGGTCACTCTCCCAGGAGCATTTGAGGGAGCTAAAGTACAAATGGGACAGCCAGGTTTCAAAATGGTGTCCATATGGGATTTTAGGGCCATTAGTAGTGTGATAACTGCCACAGCAGGTGCTGCATTACACCGCAGCTTTCCAAGGGAGATGCTCAGAGTTGAGGATCTTCTCATTGCTTCTGGCACTGAGAGGACCTTGGAGCTACAATGCAATAAATGCTCTTACTCTGAAACACTTTTCTTTGGTTTTGTGTGCTTCTGAGGTGATGCAGTCTCTTAGCTGGATTATGGAGTTGTTACAAATGTGTTTCAATCTGTATGTGTTAAGTCAAGTCTGTGTAGAAAATGAAGATTTGCGAATTTCTAGCCTACCATGTTTCTGATATCACTATGCCAAAGTGTAGTTTATGAACTACTTATTGAGATTAAACTTATTATAAATGGAAAGAAAATATATAATAAAATGAAATGAGAGACCCAAGTTGGGATCTTAGTTCGTCTTTGTCCAGGACATCCAGCCAAAAAGGGATGTTTGGGAAGAGAAAATGGGCTCCTTCTCTACCTTTGTGTTTCTGCTTTCAAATAAATAAAAGAATTTAAAAAGTCTGCCTGGTTGGTGCAGTAAATATCTTAAGAGTGTGTCCATTCCCTGGCTCCTCTGTGTTGGGAGGCCCAGTCCTGGAGAGAGAGCGTCTACCCTCATTGCTCACCGAATGAAATCAGTTGCTGTCTCTTTTCCCACCCAGAGTCAAGAACGTGAGGCAGCCCTGCACAACAAGAAGAAAAGGAACAGTAGAGCCCTTACCTGGGGGTATGCTTCAGCTGAGAGTAGGTACGTCTTAGCAAGTGCTGAGAGAGACAGCAGAGAGATTCAGAGTGACCAAAAAGGAATCTGGGAATGCCAGGAACATTATTTTCTCATTATGAGGAAGAAAATGACAGGTGGGAGGTACAAAGGGGAAGGGATGTTTTAGCTCAATAAGTTGTGAAGTTTTTTTTTTTTTTTTATAAACTTGGTTTTCATTAATGTCTCAAAGATCTCAGAGATTTTCTTCCTTCATAACAGTATCTTCCCACTGGCATGCACTTATTAGGAACCCTTACCTGAATCCCCCAAAAGGATCAGGGAAATGATGGCAAGGAACCCAGGAATAATAGTGCCATGAGCATTTGAAACAAGTGTCTGAATTAGCTTCATTCTGCTACATAAAATGTCCTAAGTCGGTTGCTGATACCTGCTATATCATGCTTCAAGCTACAGGTTCTTTTTACTTTGTGTAAGAGCAGAGGAGCCCCGCAGGTTTGGGGTAGCTTTCTTTGTAGCAAGTTGTCAGGTATAAGAAGGTGAAGCCAATTCTGAATCAGAAGCTGGCTTCCTGACCCCATGGAACATGGACACTCTACCCCTCTGATATCCCGAGCAATCATTTCATGCCTGCTCACTGTGCCGTCCCTTTCTGTTTTCCTGTAGACCACAGTGGGCAACAGCCAGTAAATCATAACAGAATGCAAAGTTCACAGATGGGGCAGGTACAGTTCATACATGGCCGAGCTCAATGTTGACTCGACTCTGAAATTTCTCCTCAGCCTTCAACTTCTTGCACAACTCTTATAATCACTCTACTTCATGTGAATAAGCTTCAGAATAGGCAGTGAGATTAACGAGGAATCTCTGAGGCATTCATGTTGTGACCTCTGGAACATGTCTGGAAATGTTTGATGACTGTGGGGGTAACAGTGATCTCTGATACAGCAGACACAGAGACAATGCTGTTTGGAATTAGGTCTACTGCACTGACCACTTTCCTTCTGCTGCGTGGGTTCGTAGGACCCGTGACACAAGGCCCTGTCAGCTTTTAGAATTGATGTCTCTTTGTCACAGCTGCTTTGAGCAGTCAGTAAGCCTGTCATGGAAGATTTCTGCTGATAACAGAGAATTGAAGGTGAGCAAAATAAAGCTTAGATATTGTTGTTATCATTACAAAATCAATATTTGTCTCAATGCATTAAAACATAACCTGCCTTGATTGCTATTGCTTTTGGTGTTCTATTTAGAAAGTCAGGGCATACACCTAGCTCTTGCAGAGTGTTTCCTACATTTTCTTCCAAAAGTTTGAAGGCTTCTGGGTTTAGCTTTAGATCTTTTATTCAATTAGATTTGATCTTAGTGTATGGTGAGAGATGCGGGTCTATCTTCTGGTTTCTGCAGGCTATTAGCCAGTTGTCCCCACAGCATTTCTTGAAGAGACCTTCCCATTTGTATAAACAAATGGGACTATATCAGACTTCTGCATAGCAAGGGAAGCAATCAGCAAAGTAAAAAAAAAAAAAAAGAAAGAAAAAGAAAAAGAAACAAAAGAAAACAACACACAGAATGGGAGAAGATCTTTGCACACTACATAGGTGATAGGGGGCTAATTTCCAGAATATACAAAGAACTTCAAAACAACCAAAAAACCAAAACAAACACACCACTCAAAAAATGGGCACAGGAAATGGGCAGACATTTCATAAAGGAACAAACCCAAATGGCAAACATATGAAAAAATGCTCAAGTTCCCTATCAATAAGAGAAATCCAAATTAAGACATCAATGAGGTACGACCTAACACCAGTAAGAATAGCTCATATATAAAAAACCACCAACAATACTTGTTGGCGAGGTTGTGGGGAAAAGGGAACACTTCTCCATTGCTGGTGGGGCTGCACATTGGTGCAGCCTCTATGGAAATCAGTATGGAGAACACTCAAACAACTCAAAATCTTCATACCATACGATCCAGCAATAGTACTCCTAGGAATATATCCAAAACACCTGCTACACGAGAAACTTACATGCACCCCCATGTTCATAGCAGCACAATCAATA